TCCAGGCCAATTGGCTGTGAGAATCAGCTGTGTCTACAGTGGGAGAACTTCTGTGCTGAAGACACCCGTATGAGGCAAGACTTGCTTCAGTGGGGCTTTGGTGCTCACTGAGTCTGCCCCGAGTGTGTCCCTTATGGATCTGAGGAGTTGTAATCTGGATGGTCCCACTCTGACCACCGCGCACCCTGGCTCCTGGATCTCTAAGGAGGTGCTAATCTAGCCTCTGCCTGAGGCTACCCAGCAGGAGCTCAGCTGTGAAGCAATGCAAGTTGCCAATGGGGCCTTGGGCCAGCTCCAAGATTGCAAAGGGCCAGGCCTTTCATATGCAAAAGCCAGAGCATAGCTTGGGCAGGGCAGGGGTTCTAGGGGATCAACTGGGCAGAGCAAGCAGCTATGTCCGCCCTCTGAGGCCCTGATTCTCAGTGTCCCGGCAATCGCTGCAAGCACCTCCGAGACAAAGCTGCCCTCAAGTTCCGACCAATACCAGACAGTCCAGCTTCTCCCGTATGAGTCTGGGTCCCCAGAGACTTGCCTGGAACTGGAGCTCAGAGCTTGAGACTCCCTACCGATTGAAAAAGACAACCGTGTCCTCAGCTGCCAGCCCTCTCTGTGTGTGCCTCCGTACCTCTGTACTTTACTTTCACACCACACCTCCCGAGTCTTGGTATGCTTTTCTCTTTCCTTCTAGTTGTAGAATTTCCACTCAGCCAGCCTTCCTGTGGTTCTGGATGATGTCGGTTCCGTCTTTTAGTTGTATTCTCGAAGTGGTTGTGCTAAGCAGCAATCTCCAGTGTTTACCCATTGCTATTGTGCATTTTAACTATAAAATATAACAATATAAGAATTTTTTGCTGGCTTTGTGTAATGAATAGACCTGATTTTGGGATTTTAAGAATAGTCCACACATAAAACTTTTGAGTAATTAAACTGTTTTTAAAATATTTCAATATGAAAGTTCACTGTTGATGGTGGACAACAGGAGGCAGCCGATCGATGTCTCTCTCTCATCGATGTTTCTAACTCTCTATCTTTCTCCCTTCCTCTCTGTAAAAAATCGATAAAATATATTAAAAAAAAAAAATACTTCAATATGAAAGTTCACTGTTGATGGTGGACAAGCTAATCATAATATTTGTTTTCTCCATGTCATTCTAAAAATGGAATTAACATATTTATGTATTTTTTCAACATTACTTTATAGTCAGGCTTTCTTTTTGTCATATAAATTATATTGATTTTTTAATAAACAAGGTTGACTGTATTATAAACAACAGTAATGCTAATATAAATATTGCCAAGAAGATTATAAACCATGGTGACTGATGTATAGGTAATGTTGATGACAATATAAACAATAGGATACAATTTAAATAATGCTTATGCTAAAATCAACACTTTGGGATGCTTTAAGTTCTGACCAATAGAATTTTTAAAGTAGTTTATAAGACTTGGCCAAGTTTAATATTTAGATAAATAATTAATCAAACTCAGAATTTTATGGCCACTGCAGTATTTATCTAATGTTTATTTAAGTAGTAATGTGAGTTTTAAATTCAAAATTTTAGATTTCAGTTCTACGTAGAGCTCATTACTCTTGAATATAATTGGAAAACACAGCTGCTTTCTTTTTGTACTCTGAGGTGAAAATAGAGGCTTATTTCTATTCACTAGAATAGACAGGTTTTAAAAAATGAATATGTATTTGGCCTAATCCAATTGTTTTCACATTATGTTATTTATCTATAATAATAAAAGCGTAATATGCTAATTAGCCTGGACAGCCGAACGAGCTTCTGGACGTCCTGCCTGCAGCGGCAGGGGCTGAGGCAGAGGCGGTTAGGGGCGATGAGGCAGGCGGGCGAGCAGTTAGGGACGATGAGGCAGGCAGGCAAGTGGTTAGGGGCAATTGGGCAGGCAGGCAGAGTGTTTAGGGGGATTAGGCAGCCAGGCAAGTGGTTAGGGGTGATCAGGCAGATAGGCAGAATGTTTAGAGGCAATCAGGCAAGCAGGCAGAGGCAGTTAGGGGCAATCAGACAGGCAAGCAAGCAGTTAGGGGTGCGCTCAGGCACAGGGGAGTTATTAGGGGCAATCAGGCAGGCAGGAGGACATCCCCCAAGGGATCCTGGATTGCAAGAGGGTGCAGGCCGGGCCAAGGGACCTTCCTCACATCCCCATGCATGAATTTTGTGTACCGGGCCTCCGGTGTGTTAAAGGGGAATAGGAGGATTCTTTGAAATCTAAAGAATATGAACTTACACTGAAACTGTGTGCGTACATATACTCTACTGTTTATGGTGTATTTCTCTTAGATCTGAGAATTGGTATTATGTACTCTATTGGGGCTTCATGAAAGATGCTTAGAGGTTGTGTTAATGGTATCTAAAGAGAGCATGCTTCATATTTTTAGTAAAATGCCCTTAAAGTATATATTTTGGTGAAAAGTGCCTTTATTTTATAATAGACAGTCTTCACAAAAACCATGTAAATGCCTTTTTATATTTGAATATAAGACAAAATACTATACTTGTGAATAGATTTCTTTTGTGAGACATATCTTTTTTTAAAAATATATTGTATTGATTTTTTACAGAGAGGAAGGGAGAGGGATAGAGTTAGAAACATCGATCAGCTGCCTCCTGCACACTCCCTACTGGGGATGTGCCCAAAATTAAGGTACATGCCCTTGACCGGAATTGAACCTGGGATCCTTGAGTCTGTAGGCTGATGACACTCTATCCACTGAGCCAAACCGGTTAGGGCATGTGAGGCATATCTTAAAGTACTCATCAAGAACAGACTACTAAAGTAAAATATAATTACAATACGTGTTGCCTAATTTTTTAAAGCACTCAGTGCCCTATACATAGATGGTTTGCAAATAAAATTTGTGGCTGCTTGCTTAATGGTTCCTTTTTGTTTACACTTGAAACATACAAAAAAAGATGAGTGAGTTTTGCCTGCCACTTAACAACTGCTTCTGAAGTATAGTCGTTAGTATTTCGGACTCATTCTGTAACTGTATTTTGTTAGTTCACAGCGAGTACACTGGATGACGTCAAGAACTCTGGCAGTAGTAGTGTCTTACCGGGCAGTTCTGTGCGAAGTTCTGAAATACCTGCTGTGCCAGGGGATACGGTGTGCGTCTCAGCCAATCAGCAGGATGACTCACCTCCTCTGCATACAAATGAAGAGAGATTTTCAGGAGAGAAAGCAAGGATAGAAAGTGAAATGGACTCTTCAGATATTTCAAATGTGAGTGCTGCTAACTTGGTAAGAACAACTTATCAGAATTATGAGTGAATTCATTAAAGCAATAACCTATTATTAGGCATAAACCCCAATAATAAATTGTATTATGTATTATTTTACCCTTTACAAAGCACTTTTTTTACAAAGCATTGTATGTATGATTTTATTTTAACATTTTACTTTTATCAAACTTCTTGTTTTGTAGAGGAAGAAAATGAGAATGTGAGAGTTAAAAAACTTGCTCAAAATCTTTCAGTTTGTATGTGTTTTTTAGTCTAGCATTAAGAAACTGAGTCGATAGCAAGTCTTGCCTGCAAATGCAGCTCTCTGATAGGTGGGAAATGGTGCGTGCTGGAATGAGTGTTAAAAGTTCTCTTCACAGACTTCAGACAGTGCGTGGAGGCGGTGTTCAAGATGAAATTTATGTATCATTCCCATTGTAGATTCTTTAAAAATGCACTGATTTGTGATTATTTATAGGTGTGTATTTTTGGATGAGTACTTCTGCTCATATTTTCCTATTTCCCACATTAGTATTAAGATACTAGATCTGAGGATAGTCCAGAATAGGTCATACTAGTTTTGTTTATAAAATAACTTTCAGAAGAAATAAGCATATATAAAAAGTTGTTGTGAAAAATTATTCAAATGTGCTTTTCTAAATGGCTACCATCCTATATAATAAAAAGCTAATAAGCAAATCAATCGAATGGCAGAAAGACCAGTCACTATGACATGCACTGACCACCAGGGGGCAGGCGCTCGATGCAGGAGCTTCCTGCTGGTGGTCAGTGCGCTCCCCTGTGGGAAGCTCAGCCAGAAGCCGGGCTCACGGCTGGCGAGCGCAGTGGCCGTGGTGGGAGCCGTGGCAGTCGGACAGTCCCCTGAGAGCTCCCAGACTGGGAGGGATGATCTCCCCCGCCCCCTGAGTGCAGGAATGTCATGCACTGGGCCTCTAGTATACTATAATTTCTTTAAAAACTTAGTGCCTCCAGGCTTTTTCCATTTACATCTTTTGGCCAAACCTTAAATACACGGCCCCACCTAACTGATAGCCTAATTAGTCTGTCTCCACTTTCAAATTCTCCTAGTTCACTGTCATTATGGTTATCAGTTCAAAGCTCAGGTTTAATTAAATTACTTTCTTGTCCCGTAATTTCAGTGAGTCCTTATTTCTTACAGATTAAGTTCAAATCCTTTTACTTACTATGATACGAGTTTCCTCTTCGACCATTTCACCTCGACCCCCTCGTCTCTCCTACCTTCTTCACTCCTCTCAGCGGGCCATTTCCTGAATACACGAGCCTTCAGTTCTCCCTCACTTCTCTCATAAAAGACCTCCGTCAGGATGGTCTTCCTAAAAGCCCATCAGCAACTTCTGACTCACATCACAGACTTCAAACCTGTCCCCAGTGAAATTTCTTTTATCAACTCAGATTTCATCACTTCTATGAAAAATAACCTACCCACTCTTTGAATAGTCACTTTTTTATCTGCCTTACATTATAGTAACTTGTAAATGTTCTTATTTATAACTATATTCATATTGCAAATTACATGTTACTCACCATTACAGTCCTGGGAATCCCAAGTCTCTGAGTCCTTACCTACCAGCTGCATAGCACATACTTACTCAGCGGAATTGGTGTGTGAGTGCTGGATTTATGGAAGGAAAGAGAAAAACCTCAGCTCTCTGTGGATAAAACCCTCATTTAAATTGGATTAAATGCTATATCAACAGCCAGTATTATTCATTACATAATTTTCTCTAAGTCTATATGTACTCATTTGGAATTGCTTTGAGTGAATTGTTACCATACAAAGTTTAATGTGGATTTGCATCAGGAAGAACAGTTTGTAAGAGCTATTTTCAGCTCTAACAAGGAAGTGACAGTTTTAAAATTTTAGGAGAAGTATTATAACTTATCTCAAACACTTGCTAGGTCATTTTGTTGTCACTTATGTTACTTTCTTTTGTAACTTCCAGGCCTATTCAGAAAAAATAAAAGTAACTTTTAGTTTTGCTTGCTGCTAATTTTCTTGTGGCTAAGGTAGAAATGAAAATAGTTTCAATATTGAATTGTCTCTGTATTAAAATATTATAACATCTATTTCATATTAATCTTTTGTCCATGTGGGCCAATTTCATTAGCTCTTTATTAGGTTCAGGCAGGAAAATTATGGCTATCAAATTTGAAATAAATATTTGCAATTAAAAAAAATTAGTGCCTCATCATACTGCAAGATGCTGTCAGCAGATGATAATAGGACAAATTATACTTCTGATAGAGAATAGCATTAGATACAGATGAAACCATATGGGTTAAGGGAGAAATAAGGTTGATAGTAACAAGAAAAAAAATACTTAGATTCCTTTAGTAAGGAATAAAGAATAATTTGTTTTTCTAACTTGGATTTTTTAGTGTGAATGGTTTCAAAGGTTGAATATCATTTTAAGTATAACAAGTACTGGATTTAATATATGGGGTAGAAATTGGTCATATTTAAATTTTTTTCTTTTCATAGACACACAAATGATGTATGCAGATATTTATTGGAAATTCACAGTGTGAAATAGTAAAACTTACATGTGGGTAATGGAATCATCACTTCATCCTTAAGGTCTCTCGTATGTAACGTCTTCTCAGGTCTTCAGAGACTAAATGGAAATGTACTTGGGCAAGATACAATTGAGGAAATAGGCTCATGTGTGAACTTACTTTTTGTGAAGTTAAATATTTCAGCTTTTCTATTTGTATTTTTTTAATATATTTTATTGATTTTTTACAGAGAGGAAGGGAGAGAGATAGAGAGGCAGAAACATTGATGAGAGAGAAACATCAATCAGCTGCCTCCTGCACACCCCCCACTGGGGATGTGCCCGCAACCAAGGCACTTGCCCTTGACCGGAATTGAACCTGGGACCCTTCAGTCCGCAAACTGACGCTTTATCCACCGAGCCAAACCGGTCAGGGCTACTATTTGTATTTTTACATTGCTATTAGTTGTAATATCTGTGTGGGACGTAACAGCAGTCAGCTTCTGTATTCTAGGGTTTATAGAGAAAAACTTTATGCTGTAAAGAAATAGACTCTCATCTAAACTCCCTCACCCCATTGAATTCCCAGGGAGAGTGGTTGTGTGGGGCCGAGGGTAGAGAGACGAGGTGGGAAGGAGGAGGGGACGCTCTCAAGGAGCTAGCAGAGCCAGGGTTCTACTCCCAACCCATTCATTTTTGAGCTGGGGCTAAGCATTGGCATTTTTAAATGCCTTTATTGCGGTATAATTGATTTTTAGTAAACTTCACATATCTGAAATATGTAAGCTGATAAATTTTGATATGTTTATAACTATGAAGTCATCTCTACAGTCAGGATAATGAACATATTGATTGCCCTTAAAGTGTCCACTTTCCCCCCTTGTCATGCCCACTTTCTGCCATTCCGTGTACCCCTTCCCAGGTCGTCATTCTCCTGCTGTCACTGCTTATTGATTGGTATTTTCAGAGCATATGTCAGTGGAATAATGTAATCTTTCTGCGGCTTCTTTCACGCAAGCTTACTTGTTTTGCATTTCATTCATGTAGTTGTGTATTAGTTCATTCTTTTTTATTGTCTTTAGGCCTATTCTGTTGTATGCATGAAACACAGTATATTTATTCATCCGTTCGTTTGATGACATGTTTGAGTTTTTCCCAGGTCCACTGTTACGAAGGCACCATAAACATTTGTCTTTGTTTTGAACACATATTTTCATTTCTCTTGGGAAGACAGGTCACTTTTGTAGATAATATTGTCCAGGTCTCCTATGTTTTTGGTACTTGTTCTATCAGTCAACAGAGGGATATGGAAATATCTGAATATCACTGTGGAGCTATATTTGTATATGTATTTAGCTTACCATGGGGATTTATAAAGTAATGGTTCTGATCTATATTACTTGTAATACATATATCTAAGTTAGGTATCATCAACATTACATAAATTCTTTCTCTGTTTCCCTTATTGTAAAACTGGAGGCCCGGTGCACGAAATTTGTGCACTTGGTGTGTGTGTGGTGGGGGCGGGGGTCGCTCAGTCCAGCCTATGCCCTCTCGCAGTCCACAAGGAGTGGGCCTAAGCCTGCAGTTGGAGATCACACTGACCACCAGGAGGCAGCTGCCCCCTGGTGGTCAGTGCATGTCATAGTGACTGGTCGTTCCACCATCTGGTCGATTTGCATATTAGCCTTTTATTATATAGGATTATTATATAGGATGGTGTCCCTTAATTTTTAAGATATTTGATCTATAACTTTTGAATTTTTTGGCATGCAAATGAAATTGACACTGTGATTAATAGTAACACCTGTTATTTATACAACTTCACAGTTTCTCATACACAGCAGTCTGGTAAGGAAGGTAAGTTGTGGATTACTGTACCATGTTATGAAATACAAAATGGGCTCTTGCTTTTAAGAAACTTTCAAGTCACACAGCTAGCGAGTGGTTGAGCCTGGACCTGAGGTTTTATAATTCTAGAACAATGCTATGTTCTGTATACTGTTGGGTGTGTGATTAGAATATAAAGAGTGAGATAACTACTGAACTTGCCAGTCAAGTGGTGACTCTTCATGCTGTTTGTTTTTAACTTTGCAGTCCATGGCAGAAGTTCTCGCTAAAAAGGAAGAGCTAGCAGATCGCCTAGAAAAGGCCAATGAAGAAGCCATTGCTAGTGCTATTGCTGAAGAGGAACAATTAACTAGAGAAATCGAAGCTGAAGAAAACAATGATATTAATATTGAAACTGACAACGACAGTGATTTTTCTGTGAGCCTTTAGAATTTTATAATTGTTCAAAAAGTATATTCAAGAATAAAATTCTTACTGCCAGAAGGACCTAGAGTTCATCCAGTCCTATTTAAAATGACTTTTAAATTATCTTCAATAACTGTATTATTCTGTGTGATTAAGACAAACAATAAATAATTGCAATTCTTATGTTAGCACTTTAACATTATTAAGAGTTTTTAGTACAATGCATTTGACAAGTTAGAAGTTATTTTCTTTTTACAAATCAAGAAATTGAATCTCAGAAAGTAAGAACTTAGCATTCCTCAGATTGTAATTGCAGAGATTGAAGAAGAATATGAGGAATTTTACTGTTTTCATTCTAATAAAAAGCAAACGATACGCTGCTTCGCTGTCACTAAGTGCTCAGCACACTCAAGTATGTTGATGAGAGGGATTTCTTTCCTTTTTTTTTTAAATGTATTTTATTCATTTTTTACAGAGAGGAAGGGAGAAGGATAGAGAGGTAGAAACATCCATGAGAGAGAAACATCGATCAGCTGCCTCCTGCACATCTCCCACTGGGGATGTGCCCGCAACCCAGGTACATGCCCTTGACCGGAATCGAACCCGGGACCCTTGAGTCCGCAGGCCGACGCTCTATCCACTGAGCCACACCGGTTAGGGCTCTTTTTTAAAAAATATACTTTTATTGACTTCAGAGAAGAAGGCAGAGGGAGAGAGAGAGAGAAACATCAATGATGAGAGAGAATCATGGATCAGCTGCCTCCTGCACGCCCCACACTGGAGATCAAGCCCACGGCCCTGGCATGTGCCCTGACCAGGAATTAAACCATGACCTCCTGGTTCATAGGTCGATGCTCAACCACTGAGCCACACCTGCTGGGCGAGAGGGATTTCTTAAAGAATAATCTTGAGCTGTTCTAATGTATGATCTGAGTATGTCAGAATGTATGTAGTACTAGTATACTATATTAGTGTAGTATAGTTTATTAGAGTGTGCTATAATAGTATAGGCCAGTGGTCGGCAAACTCATTCGTCAACAGAGCCGAATATCAACAGTACAACGTTTGAAATTTCTTTTGAGAGCCAAATTTTTTAAACTTAAACTACATAGGTAGGTACATTGTCATTAACTTAGTTAGGATACTCCTAAGGCTTAGGAAGAGCAACACTCAAGGGGCCAAAGAGATGCATGTGGCTCGTGAGCCGCAGTTTGCCGACCACGGAATAGGCCAATATGTTTCTTTTAATATATATAGCTAGATATATAGATAGATTATATCTATATCTATATCTGCATCTATATGTATATCTATCTATCTATATGTCAGAGAGGAAGGGAGAGGGGGAGAGAGATAGAAACATTAATTATGAGAAAGAATCATGGATCGGCTGCCTCCTTCAGGCCCCTACTGGGGATCGAGCCCGCAACCTGGGCATGTGCCCTGACTGGAATTGAACCGTGACCTCCTGGTTCATAGGTCAGTGCTTAACCACGCTGGCCGGGCCCAGTATGTTTCTTTTAAATTCACTTGGTTTGTCTCTGCTGTTAAATGACAAGTAGATTTGTCTTCCTCTTAAAGTGTTTACACTATGGCGTTTTTAACTTGGTTATTATTGTGACCGTAAGAGTTCTGTGCTTTATGCTAGTTTGGAGCTAGTTATTAGATGAAATGTACTAGCACAAGCTGGGACAATTTCATATGCAGTTTACTTTTTAAGGTTATAATTGTGTTCAAATATTTGTTTTTGAATTTTCCTTATTACATTTTAGGCCAGCATGGGCAGTGGAAATGTATTTTTCTGTGGTATGTCTATGGACTGGAATGATGTCCTTGCGGATTATGAAGGTATTGTGTGTGTGTGTGTGTGTGTGTGTGTGTGTTTTGTGTTCAGGTAGAGGGGTCTAAAGTAGATGATCTTATTACACAAACTTCTATGTAAAATAAAAAATTTGGAGTAAGAATGCTGATGCCTTTTAAAAGTCTGTTTTAAATGTTAGTTTTATAGAACTACGTGCTTAAACAGTAACAGTGGTTTCTTTTTAATGAACAGCTCGTGAATCTTGGCGCCAAAACACATCCTGGGGGGATATTGTCGAGGAGGAGCCTGCAAGACCTCCAGGACATGGAATTCACATGCATGAGAAACTTTCCTCCCCATCTCGCAAAAGGTCTGGCCGCAGAAAACTTAAAATACTTCACAGGAGGGAAACTAGCCACTCTCGACTGTTAAACAGAGTTGCTGAATACCATTTTACGGCACATGAGTCAGGACAGTTCAGATTCTTTGAAAAGTGACAGTGTTTTCCTGAAAAGTTAGACCGAAGTTATTTTTGTGTACTTTTTGTATTTATTTTTAGAACTTTGAAGACAAAAGAAAATACTTTTGGTTTTTCCATGTAAACATTCGTGTCGCTGTTTATTTGCTTGTATTAATAGAACAATTGCAGAGTCTAAGAAGAAACATGAAGAAAAACAGATGAAAGCACAGCAGCTAAGGGAGAAGTTACGTGAAGAGAAAACGTTAAAGCTTCAGAAATTGTTAGAAAGGGTGAGTTTTTAATATTTAGGAAATTATGATAGCCTTCCATTGATGGGCTCTTTTCAAATTGAACTTTTCTTGTGGTCTGAGAGAAGCTAAAAGAACTATAAAAACAACGAAATATTCTAGGAAACAAAGTATTTATGTCAGTTGGATTACAGAAGGTTACCTGTAAAAAGAGTTTTCAATTCCCAAATTAGCTGGTAAATTCTTGTGTTGCAGCATTGGCATGGATTATTTTTGCCATTTTCGTTGCAGGGTTTCCTTGGGGAGTCTTGTGCAAAGTGTAGAAGACTTGGTAGGACAGTTTTGAGCCTCATATTGTAAAGTTTGAATAATTGGTGCAGTAATGAGAATTATAGGCGAGATCCTTAAGAGTACTTAGAGCAGTGTTACTTCTGATCAGTGTTGCATAGTGGAAGGAACACGGACCCTAGATGGCCAACCAGGCCAAATCCTGGTTTTGCTACGAAAGATACGGTGCCTGGAGCAAGTTACTTTAACAATACTGGTTCCAGTTTGTTTATCTGTACAGTGAAATTGTAATTATTAACCTGTTGTGGTGACTAAATGTGGCAAGTGTGTGAAACAGCAGCACGCTTCTAGGATGGCTGCTGGCTGATGCTCAGTTTGTTGGTGCCTGCATGTGGCAGATGGAGGTGAGGGCTGTGTTAGTTACGTGTTCTGTGTAACAAATGCCCTCAGAACTTGGCAGCCTACAGCACACATTTATAGCTCACAGCCTCTGGGCATGGGAAGGGGGTGGCTGCCTGGTGACTTCCGCTCAGAGGCCCTCACGAGGTGTCGTCATGCTGTCGGCGGGGGCAGCCGTCACTGAGCTGGCGGATCCACGTCCAGACTCCCCTGTGTTTACGGCAGCTTCAGGTCCTCTTGTCAGCTGGCTGTAGACCTCCGTTCCTCACTTTCTTCATGACACGGCTGCCCGCTTCCCCCAAGAAAGTATCTGAGAGAGAGAGAGGAGGAAAGAGCAAGTAAGCTGCCAGAGTGAAAGTTGCACCATTTTTTATAATCTTTTTCTCAGTATATAATACAGCCTCCACTGATTGGGAGATCAGTTCTTGGAACTGTGCATTAGAGGTCCTCTGGTTTAATTTTCCCACCAATGTAGGTATCCCTTCCACTACTTTCATTGATAAATCCCACCTTGTATTTGCATAAAAGGTGTTGTTTCAACACTGTTACATACATGCTCTCACTGATCACCATAGTAACTGTGGGAGATACAGAGTTCAACAGGTACTGAGCCCATTTCACAGATGGGAAAACAGTGTAGGAGAGGCTAAGTGCTGCTTCTGGGCTCACCACCTCACTTAGGGCTTTGAGGATCTGTCCTCTGGATTCTATCCATGCTGTTCCTGTGTCATACTTTTTTAGGTGTTTACACACATAATTATGTAGCTCATTCATGTTGAGCCAACATCTGATTTTCTATAATTTATTCTCATTGGTGCTGGATTAGATTTCCTAGAGCGGAGTCTTTTACTTTTTGAAACTGTTCTATGGATTTAAAGGAAACTTTTATATCTATTTTTGTTCTTCTGGAGGCTCTTTTTCCTTCTTGTGCAAATGAATGTAATTTTTCAGACTTCTCACCATTTTCCATTCTCACGGATAAAATTACTTAATTGTCTTGATTTGGTTACTAGAGACATTAGGTTTATGAGGCTAGCAAACACACACTGCTTTAATGAAAGCTTACTCCTAGTGCAGTGTAATGACAGCAGGTATTTCAGCTGAGCCATGTCTGATGCACAGCACTAAGATTGGTACCTGTACTGACTCAGTCTTGAAAACAAGCCAGTGAGTTAGATTATGAACTCGAGCAGGCTGCCTGTCGTCTGCTCCACTAACGCTTCACTCACAAGCACTGAACTGTTCGTCAGCGTGCGCTCCTGTGAGTGACTGTGTGCTGAGAGTGAGGCTGCGTTGCTCCACTGTCTGCAGGAGAAAGATGTCCGGAAGTGGAAGGAAGAATTGCTAGATCAGCGCCGCCGGATGATGGAAGAGAAATTGCTTCATGCTGAATTTAAGCGGGAAGTGCAACTACAAGCAATTGTTAAAAAAGCACAAGAGGAAGAAGCTAAGGTAAGTACATAAATCTTAGGTGCTTTGAGCATTGAATTAGTTACCCAAGTCCTTTTCAACAATTGTTATTTAAAAAACTAATGTTTATCAAATGTCTATTCTGTCTAGAATAACAGCATTTTACAGGCTCATTTTAAGCTTGTTAGGTGCAGTATCTTGTCTTTATAATAATCCTATGATGTAGCCCTAGCCGGCTTGGCTCAGTGGGTAGAGCGTCGGCCTGCGGACTGAAGGATCGCGGGTTTGATTCCGGTCAAGGGCATATGCCTGGGTTGCGGGCTTGATCCCCAGTAGGGGGCGTGCAGGAGGCAGCCAATCAATGATTCTCTCATCATTGATGTTTCTATCTCTCTCTCCCTCTCCCTTCCTCTTTGAAATCAATAAAAATATTTTAAAAAATAATCCTTTGATGTATATATATATTTTTTACAGCTTTATTGAGGTATAATTGACAGACAATAGATAGCACATATGTAAAGCATCAGTTTGATGAGTTTTGACATGTATATATTCCTGCAACTATCATATCATAAAAATTTTAAACAATTCCATCACCCTCAAAAGTTTCTTCATGCTTTCTTGTAATTCCTTCCTTCCTCCCTCCAACTGTTCCCATGCAATTTCTGACCTGCTCTTTGTCACTGTAGCTGTAAACATTTTCTGGAATTTTATATGAATGGGATCATGCAGTATGTACTCTCTCTCCTCTGGTGTCTTTCACTTAGCATAGTGATTTTGATTTTATCCATGCTGTTGTGTATATCAGTTACTTTTTCATTGCTGAGAAGTATATACCACTGAATAGAATTACCATAATTTGTTAATTCAGCAGCTGTTGATGGACATTTGTTTTCAGATATAACTGCATTGAATATTCATGTACCAATATTCATTCATGCAGATGTGTGCTTTTATTTTCTTGGGTAAATACCTGAGAATGGATCATGATAGGTTCATGTGTCCATGTTTAACTTCTTTTGTTGTTGTTAATCTTCACCTGAGAATGTTTTTTTCCCATTGATTTTAAGAGAGACTATAAGGAGGAAGGGGTGGGGGGGGGGGAGGGAGATACTAATGTGAGAGAGACACGTTGATTGGTGCCTCCTGCATGCTCCCCAACCAAGGCCAGGGATTGAACCTGCCATCCAGGTATGTGCCCTTGACTGGAAATCAAGCTGTGTGTTTTTTAAAACATATTTGTATTGATTTCAGAGAGGGAGAGAGAGACAGAAACATCAATGATGAGAGAGAATCATGGACCGGCTGCTTCCTACATGCCCCTCTACTGGGGATCAAGCCTGTAACCTGGGAGTATGTGCTTGACTGGAATCGAACTTGGGATCCTTCAGCCCGCAGGCCAACATTCTATCCACTGAGCCAAACCAGCTAGAGCTGGATCTGTGTTTTGTATATATTTTCTCTCAGTCTATAGATTGCCTTTAAAAAAATGTTTCTGTTGATTTTAAGAGCAAGAGAGAGGAAAGGAGAAGGAGAGAGATGGAAATACCAATGATGAGAGAGAATCATTGATCGGCTACCTCCTGCATGCCCCACACTAGGGATCGAGCCCTCGACCCGGGCATGTGCCATGACCAGGAATTGAACCTTGACCTTCTGGTTCATAGATCTATACTTAACCACTGAGTCACACCTTTTGATTTTTGTGACAGTACCTTTTGAAGTCTTATAAATTGATAAAATTCAAAATGTTGACATTTTTCTTCTATACTTGGTGAGTTTTACATCCTATTTTAAAATCTTTACCTAAACCTAAGGTTACTAAGATTTTTTTCTCAAGTTTCTTTCTAGAAGTTTGTAATTTTACACTGAGGTCTGTATTCCATTTTGAGTTGTGTTTTGTATATGGTGAAGGCGAGGGTTAAAAAGTTTTACCGTCTGGATAACTAATGTTCCAGTGCCAGTTGGAAACCCTTTCCTTTCTGTGTCGAATGGCCTTGCTGAAAGGCAGCTGCTGTGTGTGTGCGCGCCTGCGCGGGCTGTTTCTGTCTGAGGCCGCATTGGTAGTGACGGTTCCTGGAGTCTGCTGCCGTCAAAGAGCGTAGCTCAGCCTTCACTTTCCCATTTCACGCCCCCATTTCACTGTATGTTTCTTCACGCCACCACTTCACTGTATGTTTCTTCACGCCCCATTTAACTGTGTTTTCTAGCTTTAAAGAACGAAAACGTTGCCCTAGCCGTTTTGCTCAGTGGATAGAGCATCTGCCTGTGGAATGAAGGATCCTGGGTTCGTTCCCACTGAAGGGCCTGTCTCTCGGTTGCAGGCCCCGGCCTGGCCCGCAACCAGTCGATGTGTCTCTCTCACATCGATGTTTCGCTCTGTCTTTCCCTCTCTCTTCTACTCTCTCTAAAAATCAATGGAAAAATATCCTCGAGTGAGGATCAAAAAAAGAAAGAATGAAAGGTTCGACCCCAACTGACTTTTTTCAGCGTTCTCATTAGCTACACTTTACTCATAAACACTGCTGTCAAGTTTGTGGACTCTTAAGAATCAGTATACATGAAGTTGAGGGTGCAGTGCGCACAGTTCAGTGCCTTGGACCTAATTGTCATTCACTCGGTGTAAGTTGAAGAAAAATGATTTGTTAATTAAGGTTTGTCTTCAGGTTTGTCCAAACTCCTTAGAACACATATATATAACTGTTTTAATCTTAATGTAATTTGTATGGTTGCAGATCATAAGGACATTATGTAGAACTTTGTAAGATGGTCTCTATGAGAATCCTAATTTATGTATTGACCTAAAATACTTTCTGTGGCAGACTTTTATTTATTTTACATCAGTTCTTACTAAGGCCTGTGGATTTATTTTATAACTGTATTATTATCCATTTTTGAGGTAACTATTGAAGAAAACACTCATAGACTATTACACTTTTGTTTTAGGCCTTTACACTGGTTTATGTTATAACGTAAAGACGGTTAAGTTTATTTGTGTGGTGTACCCCAGAATTAACTTCATTTGAAACTCACTGTTTTTAATGAAGGTAAATGAAATTGCTTTCATAAATACCCTTGAAGCCCAGAATAAACGCCATGACGTTTTATCGAAATTGAAGGAATATGAGCAGAGGCTTAATGAGCTACAGGAAGAGCGCCAGCGAAGACAGGAAGAAAAGCAAGCGCGTGACGAAGCTGTCCAGGTAGGGTTTTATTTGGCAGCATTTATGGGCACCTGCCACATCGCAGGCATAAAGGGGGCGTGGCCAGAGTCTTCCTGAAGCTGCCGTAACATGTGCGCAACTGTGAAACCAAGTACCGTGGTGTCCAAGAGGTTTCGGAAGGCGTAAGAGTGAGGAGATGCCTGTCTAATTCCTTTGCCGTAGGGCTATGTTCTTTATTTGTAAGGATACAGGTTCACTTTATAAAGCCATGCTTCACTTATTGACATATTCATGGAATCCCCCCCTGTGCAAGATGCTTTCATGGAGTAGGAAGTTTCCCTCTGACCAAGGTCCTAAGCAGTGCATTCCCGTCACTTAAAAACCACAGCCGCGGATACATGGAACATCCACCTATAAAATCTGTGAACTGTGCTTTCTTCATGACGTTTTGGTATTTCTAGAACCATTTCTAAACACAGGGCTGTAGAAGTGATTAACCATAAAATACTTACTAGGTTCTTGTAGAATATGAATAGTATCTGCTGAACATAGCATTTATTCTGATCATTATGTGTAACTCTGGTAAAGTACATGAAAACCAGATATCACTGATGTTTGATTTTTGTTTCAATTCTGTGAAGCAAACTTACTGACAAGCCAGGGATCTCCACGGTTTTAACATACACGTTTATCTCAAAGCTCTGTCGTTTTCATTTTTCACATAAACCTAACACCTTTTAAAACATTTCTGACATTAGGAACGAAAGAGAGCCCTGGAGGCAGAACGGCAGGCCCGGGTGGAAGAGCTGTTAATGAAGAGGAAGGAACAGGAAGCGCGGATTGAACAGCAGAGGCAGGAGAAGGAGAAGGCCCGTGAGGACGCCGCCAGGCAAAGAGCGAGGTACCTGTTGTGATTGTGATCCTGACAGACGTTTTGCAGGGGGTCAATAGTCAAATCAAGTCTTAAAGGCACTTGCTGTCGTGTAGATGTTTTTAGAAACAGTCCAAGTACAGAAATGTCCATTTCCAGGCTTTATAGCATCATGTTAAAGTGAAAACCTTTTTAACCTTTCTGTTGGATGGAAAACATGGTATTTCAAAAATGTATTGGTTGCAAGAAATAGAGTTTGATTCTGGCTGGCTTGATTCAGCAAAGGGGGTTTTAGGAGCACGTTGGGAGCACAAGTGGTAGGAGCTGCGAGGACCAGGCTTGCAGGGGGTCGGGCGTCGGAGGCCAGGCCACAGGAGCCACAGCGTGGCCTTGCGGTAGCAGCAGTCTGGTCAGCGTGCTGTCACTCTGGTTGTGATAAGTGACCTTCGACCATCCCTTTACTTTAAAATCAGTTGTTTAAGATTCAAAGACCCAGGAAAAAGCATGTAATTGGCCAAGCCTGAGTCCCTTTTGGTTGGTATGTACCTTGCTGACATGTGAATTTTTTTCTGACCTGTTAATTGTGTCAAATTTGGTGCATGTGAAAATATACTTTTCTTTGGTGTATGTGAAAATGTACTGTCCAAGACTAATAATAAGGCTGAGTAACTTTTTGCGTACTTAGCAGCTACTAAAAAAGAAATTGTCTTTCTATCTCAAACCATACAATAAAATCAACTCTTGGTGACTGTACCGTGAATACCCTATTGTTCTAGTGCATGTTATCGAAAAGTCAGAATTTCCCTGCTGCTCTGGAGCCTTCGGACAGGCATCAGGTTTCCTCGGAGGCGTGGCTCTGTTGGTGGCTCTGTCTTTGTCTGGCGGTTACTTTCTTTTTTTTTTTTTTTTTTTTTTTTTAAATATATTTTATTGATTTTTTACAGAGAGGAAGGGAGAGAGACAGAGAGTTAGAAACATCGATGAGAGAGAGACATCGATCAGCTGCCTCCTGCACATCTCCCACTGGGGATGTGCCCGCAACCCAGGTACATGCCCTTGACCGGAATCGAACCTGGGACCCCTCAGTCCGCAGGCCGACGCTCTATCCACTGAGCCAAACCGGTCTCGGCTGGCGGTTACTTTCTTTATCCTCGGATTTAATGATCGGAGCTCGGTAATCGTTTGGGACCTAATGCTGTTGGGACGGTCTCGGCCCTCTCACCTTTCTGTGTGACTGTGATCTGTCTAGGTTGGTTCTCTTCATGATAGGTTTTCATCAGATTTGGGAAGTGTTTGCCCTTATTTCTCCAGGTATTTATTTGCTCCTCTGAGTTTTAGTAGTTTCTCAGATTTCCCATGGTTTTGATGACCCTGACAGTTTTGTGAGTGGTCAGGTATTTTATACTGTTGCTCAGTTAGGATTTAATTGATGTGTTTCTGATGGTTAGATTAGGGTTATGGTTTCTGACAGTAGGATCACAGGGCTAAATGTATATTTCTATTCTTTTTTAAAAATATACATTTTATTGATTTTTTACAGAGAGGAAGGGAGAGAGAGAGTCAGAAACATTGATGAGAGAGAAGCATTGATCAGCTGCCTCCTGCACACCTCCTTCTGGGAATGTGCCCGCACCAAGGTACAGGCCCTTGACCGGAATCAAACCCGGGACCTTTCAGCCTGCAGGCCGATGCTCTATCCACTGAGCCACACCGGTCAGGGCTAAATTTCTATTCTTAACATGTCAGAGGTTCATGCTGTCCGCTGGACTTACCTCGGAGTTTGTGGGCCTTGGTCACCCGGGGAGGAGGGTCAGGTTTCTTCCTTGTGTGGTGACTTTAAAAATTTCCCTCTGCTGTCCTCCTCGGAAGCGAGCCCCTGAGCAGAGCCCACACCTGTCGAGAGGAGAACCACTGCAGAACATACTTGCAGTCTGTCCTCTTCATTCATTCATTCATTCATTCATTCATTCATGTCAGTGTGGACTGTTGATGTCTTTTTTGTCCTTCCAGTTATATGCTAGTATTCCGTTATTCACTTTCTTGCTCACTTGTTCCACGTTGACACTGGGTGCTCTTTCCTCTGGCCCCTGTGTCCCCCGACGCACTCAGTGGTTTCTCGGCGCGGCCTTCCTCTCCGACGCTGCACGGCGCTCCAGGCCCATCGTGTTCTCCAGGCGCCACCCCCAGAATCAGCCGTTTGTTCAGGGGTCCTCGTTCCTCTTATTGGAATGCTGTTGTAAACTCTTTCTTTTCTCTCTTGAGAGTCCCTGTTTGCTAAATCATTGTCATAATATTTTTCTTTATTTTGGCATACTTTTAATTATCTGAACATGTTTATAATAGCTGTTTTGCAGTCTCTGTCTGCTAACTCCAACATATGACTTCATTCAGAGAGTTTCGATTCACTGCTTTTTTCCCAAGCATGGTCATACTTTTTTGTATGTCTCATAATTTGTTTGGGATCGTTTCCTCCTATTCTCTGTGTGAGTTCATGCCTTTTCCATTCGTTTGTTGTGGTTTTACTGGCATATTTAAGTGACAGTCTTGGAGCTAATATTTAAACCTCTGCCTGGGTCCAGAAACCTATTTCATAACTAATAATTTCTGCTGCTTTCCAAGCACTTAATGAACAGTATGTCTGGGACTTAACAGGCGCTTAGAAAAATAAGTTTAAAAAACAATAACCCTTTAGAACAGTGGTCGCCAGCAGGTGGTCCGTGAGGTCCGAAAGGATGGCGACCGCTGGTGTAGAAGAGAGAAGCCTAGGAGCCCTCATTGTGTTGTCTAACCTGCGGTTGTTCCTCCCCTGGTGCGCACAGGGACAGGGAAGAGCGACTGGCGGCTCTCACGGCGGCTCAGCAGGAGGCCATGGAGGAGCTGCAGAAGAAGATACAGCTCAAGGTGGGCACGTCTCCTGTGAGAGCTTGGAGCTGCCATGGGGCATGGGATTACATTGTTATTTGTTGGATTAATTGTATAGAAAATTGAATTAGTTTGTATTCCTGATCTTTTGATAATGAGAAATATGATTTCGCTACCATCATATTGGCCGTTTCAACTATCTGAAAACTAAATTTTAGTAAGCAATTGAGGAAAAAAAATAACCACATTTTAACATTTCTTGTTTTTACTGAGCAGTGGTTATTATAAACTAGAGGCCTGGTGCACGAATTCGTGCACGGGTGGGGTCCAGCCGGCCCGCCCTGATCAGAGCCTGTCGGGTGGGGGTGGTCTTATCTGGGGCGGGGCTGCCTGGGAGGAGCTGCGGGTGGTTGGCAGGTCGGATCCGCCCTCTGGTTGAACTCCTGGTTGAGGGGACAGTTAGCACATTAGCCTTTTATTATACGGGATGAGGTAGTTTCACTTGGTTTTAGTGCTTTGGACTTGCATGTTTGTAGTTTGGAGACACGATAAACTTACGTTTTTTAGAAAATGTTCGCCATCAGTACTGCAGCTTCCGGCAGTACGAATACTTCACATTCTGCCACAACTCTTCCCATGTTGGCTCCTCACAGAGATGGTAAATTCTGTACGTAGGACACCACACTGCTATTTGTATAGTCCTAGAACGTTATCATTCATATACGTTTAGTGAAGTAAATACTTATGGAGCCTGTGGTAGGCATGGGAATAGAGGTGAGTAAGACGTGACCATGAATTTCAAGAAACTCATCCTTTAACGTGAGCTTCAGATGCCGAGCACACAGCTTCCATGTGGACGAAGGTTACACAGAGTGCTGCTGAGGTACAGAGGGGGTCCTCAGTCCAACACGAAGGGTGAGGGGAAGGAATCCTAGAGAGTAATTCCTGAGCTGAATCTTAAAAGAAAAATGAGTTACATGTGCAGGAGAATGGGTAGTTAGATGGGATGCCATTTCAGCCTTATGAAACAGTATGAGGGGGAGTCAGAAGTTGGAAGTAGTGTAATTTAGCATGTTTGTTTTGTTTTCTGGGAAGTCACTGGAGGTGTAGGACAGTTAGCAGCGTAGTCGGTGTGGACAGAGGCCTGATGTGCTGGAGATCAGCTTGGTCTTTACCTGTGGGTCACCATTCCCCCAGGGTGATCCAGGAAGTGCCTCTCAGAGGTGTGCTGTGTGTAGTGAGTGTGTCAAATGTTGTTTATTGAGTCATAGCTCACAGACAGTGACATACTACAGGCTACATAAAGTCAATTTTAAAAACCTTTTTAGCTTTCACTTCCTATTTTCCAAGTTTATTTGACCATGGAACCTCTTCCACAAAGCACTTACTAAGATCCCATGTAGCTCCGTGGAGCACATTTAGGAAATGTAACTGTACATGCAGGAGATATTAAAGGTCTTTATGTAAATTCTTGTTCTCAGTGTTCACGTTAACATTGAATTATGACATTCTGCTGTTATTTTAGAAGGCCTAATAGAAATATTTTTTCAAGTTATCAGTATAATTTGAGTAATTTTTTATATTCTCACACTCTGACTTCATCTGCAGCATGATGAAAGCATTAGAAGGCACATGGAACAGATTGAACAAAGAAAAGAAAAAGCTGCTGAGTTGAGCAGTGGACGACACGCCAATACTGATTATGCTCCCAAACTGACCCCTTATGAGAGAAAGAAGCAGTGTTCTCTGTGCAATGTCCTGGTGGGTTGTCATTATCAATATTGTGAAGCTAGAACTTATTACTAGAGTTTCAAGTATGAAAATGTACTCTCCCCATTTTTTTTCTTCACTTTTTTTTAAAATTAAATATTTATTATTCAGATTATTACAGTTGTTCCTCTTTTTCCACCCATAGCTCCCCTCCACCCAGTTCCCATTAAAATATCAAAAAATTACTAACTGTGTAGACCTTATCCCCCCCGTCCTTATCCACCCCCACTGTCCTTGTCCATAGGTGTACGAATTTTGTCCAGTCTCTTCCTGCACCCCCCGACCCCCTT